GCAGCATCCCTGCTGCAAGACAGAGGCTCGCAGGCAGCCGTGGGAGCCCAGCTGTGTGGCTGTGTGGATTTACCCATGTCCCTGACCTGCAGTGTTGTGGCTGCTGGACCAGATGTGATGGGATGCTGCTGGACCAGATATGATGGGATGCTGCTGGACCGCGTCCGACCCAAGAGAGGGGCCCTCTGATTAGCTTTGCCATCACAGAGCAGCCAGCACTGAGCAGCATGCTCAACTTTGGCTTCCCTATGTGTAGCGTTGGCCGAGAGCTCAAAAAAATCTATTGGGTTGGCCCAGGTTACTTGGGAATTCCTGGAGGAGCTGGGGTCTGCCGTGTGTGGCTGTGGTGGAAAGAAGCCACATTCAGAGGGGGTTTTCCCAAGTGCAGACATTGGGCAGAGTTCAGTCACCTTTCCCTCCCAGCCCCTGTGCAGGACGGCCGCCCTTTCTGGTCCCAGAGTAAATAAGTATGGTGACAACGTCAGGAGCCCACTGTCACTGGGGGTGGGTGCTGCGTGTTTTGTTTTGTTCAGCATCACTAAAGGTGGTGATGGAGTCCAGTGTAATTGCTGTGGCTTGGCACTGCTTTTGGGGTGAAGACAGAAGAAAGGCATAGCATGCTTAGGTCCTCAGTGCCCTTATCTGGTGAGGAGGCTCAGATCTTGGAGGAGGGGCTGAGCCCCCCCCCCACTCCCAAGCTGTCAGCATGTTCTTAGGGTGGCCCATGTCCTCTGCATCACTAGGAACAATGAGCTGACACCAGGACACCATCATCTGGGGCTTGGCCCCAGCCTGGCCTGACCTTGATTTGCTGTAGCATCATTTGTAACTCACTTTACATAATTTTGCTTGCCCTGACGAGCACTGCTGCGCTCTGCCTCCTCCCACAGAGTTCCATTTTGACATAGCCATGTCCTAATGCAGGTACGAGGATGCTGTGTGGCTGCCCCAGTGCTGCTCAGTCTGTTCCCAGTTGGAACAAGGGGTGACCTTACTGTAAAGGGTGACCTTGCCTGTTCCTCTCCATCTGAAAGGTTTTACTTTGGTTGTGATCTTTGTTAGATTCCTGCCACAGCGCTGGGAAGGTTGTTTGCAGCAATGAGCTGCTGTAGGGAAGAGCCACCTTTAAGCATGTTCTTAGTGTTGCAGTGATGTATTTCAGTATTATCTCAATATTCAATATGTAATTTTCAGTAGATACCTGTAGATTTGTTTTGGAATGCTACTTAATGTGCTCTTCCAATGCTGTTTTGTATGTTCTTCTAACTACAAACGCAGTTTCTCCCTATCCCCCAGCACACCTCCCCAAACCACGTAAAACAGATCCAAATGGCATTAAGCAATTGTTACAGATCGATGTATATATATAAAAAAAAAAGTCCCAAACTCACACAAACTCTGCTTAATTCAAAACAGTCAAAACCACTGCAGCATGACAGCAGCCACTGGACCGCAGTGTCGGTGCCACCTGTGCGGCAGTGCTGGGCGTTGTGTCACAGGGCTGCCCCGATCCTCACCCAGCCCAATGGAATGGAAGCAGAGCCCAGCCCTGCTCTGGGCACCCTGCGCTTTGTTCCCTTGAGGCTGATGGCTGTCGCTCCCCATCACCCCTCTGCAGGCTGCATCAGGCCATGCTGAGCCATGCCAGGCTGCACCAGGCTGTGGGGCTGCGGGGCCCAGCAGCGTGCCATCACCCACCTGGTGCAGTCTTTCAGGTTTTCAGATTCCAGGCTGCAGCTCCGTTGCCCTGCATCCAGCAAAGCGTCCTCTGCTCCCTTGCACCCGCTGCACCCCACAGGCAGCACCTTGGCACCCACAGATCCTGCACCCCACCTGGGCCCTCCCCGCTGCCGTTTCCAGGCTCGCCCCTCCCAGGCAGCTGCGTTTTCATGCAGAGCCCTGGGAGCTGGCAGAGAAATAAGCTGAGGTCAGAGCAAAGGGCTCACAGAGACGGCTCAGCTGTGGCTGCTGGAGGAGCAGCTTGCTCTGCGAGGCCACTGTCCCCAGTGAAAGGCACACACCTCAGCTTTGTTTGCCATCTAAAAATAATGCGCTCGGCTCCCCCTGACAAGGAAGTATTTACCTTGGGAAGAAAAAGTACTGTGTGCCATGCTGCTTAGAGGAACAATGCAGGGCAGCAGTGCTAGGCTGGCAGTGGGCGCTGGGCATGCAGCTCTGCAGGGCTTGGCCAGAGGAAGCATGGAGCCCAGGGAGCGTTCCTCCATCTGCCCTGGGACTCTCCCACAGGAATTGCCCCTCCTGGGCTGTGTGGGGATCCGCTGGGCTGGTTGTGCTGCAGGGAGGGGACTGCTACACATCTGCTTGGTACAACGTGCTGTGCAAATGTGTAACAGAGAAACATTACCAGCAGTTTAGCTACTGCTTTTCCTCTGTTTTCCCATCCGATCTGTGCAGGAAAAAATAGTCAGAAAAATCTTTCCAGGAGAAAAAGGAGCAAAATCCTGAAGAGGGAGATTTGCCATACTCCCCCAATGGGTTCTGTTTATTATTAGTAGTGCAACTGATGCTTTCCCTGGCTGAGCATTTCCCCAGGGCCTGTGCCTGAGGCACGCACCTTACGAGGGACAGGAGGAAGAGGGAAGCTCTAGGAAAGGAGCCCTTCCTCCCTTGCAGCATTAACCGAGGGAGCCTGCTGTGGTTTAACATATCCCCCGCAAAAGCTGCTTTCATCCTACACCTAAATACCATGAGGAGTGAACTTCCTAAAGCCCTGGAGAAACCTAAATATAGAAGCCAATCAAGGGCTGACTTCTCAGAGATGAGAACCACCAAGAACTGTTTCTTGATCAAAAGTTGTAAGGGTCCATATTGGAGAGAAGCGTCCGGCTCGGTGCTGAGGGCTGTGCAGCAGTGGGCTCACAGCACCTTTGTGCATGGATGGCACGAGCTGCATCCTTCAGGGCTCTGAAAGGGATTGTTCTGATGTGCAGCAGAGCCTCACTTGCTGTGTGTTACCACTTTTGTCCTCTGTAAGTACCCACCGCTTTTTCCTCCCAACTGATCATTTTTTGGGAGAAGAATGAAAAGATTTCCCTAGAACACAACACAACTGACAGGAAATTAGAAAGGCACAACACCGAGCTTGCAAATCTCCAAGCAGGTATTTGGCAGCACAGCAGAGGGAACTGTCACGGGCAGCTGGGGGCTGCTGATGGCAGATGGGAGCCTGGTCCCAACCTGCAGCGTGGCACACAGAGGGGCCAGTGCTGCCCCTTGTCCTGACTGTGTGAATGTGACCCGGGGGGGGAAGGTGGCTCGGTGCAGCCATGCCATGCGGGTGTCCCCCGGGGATGAGCGTGACAGCGTCCTCAGATAGCCATGGGAAATGAGAGCTTAACGTGCTGAGAGAGGCTGTGCCGTGCAGCGGGAGATGCTGTGTCCCAGATGAGCATTTTCACATGAGCAGGAAGGGGCAGAGGGTCTGCTGCACGGACAGCACGCGGAGCTCAGCCATTACCAGGCCGTGCAGTGCCAGGAAGTGGCTTTCTGCTCGCAGGAAGCTCAGTTTGGCTGCTATCAGCCCCGTGCGCTGGAGCCGTTATCTGCCGCTGAGCACAGCAGATGGGGAAGCAGCTCCCTCCTACCCCGCTCCCTCTCCTGCACCCCCACGGCCCTCGTGTGACCCCGCTGAGAACAGCCACCGCTTTCCTGGGGAGCGGTGAAGCGGGGCTCAGCGCCCTGCATGGGGGCAGGGATTGCCCCGAGTGAAGGCGGGGCCCCTCCTGAGCTCCTTTCGGGCCCGTACACCACGTCCAACAGCAATGACGGCCGGGGAGCCGCACCCCTGCCTCGCTCAGGCCGAACCCGTCCCAGAACCGAGCGGGGAAGGGCCGTCGGGTCGGCCGGCTCGGCAGGGCACACTAGGCAGGCCGGCTCCGGTTTCGCGCAGGGCGGACGGGGGGTCAGCGCAGATCAGGTGGCAGATCTGCCGGCCCTCGGCCTGCCGCCCCGCCGCACGCGGCGTTCGCCCTTCGGCCCCGCTCCCTCCGGCTGAGGAACGGAACCCGAGGGCCCGTAGGACGAACGGGGGCTGCCGGCCGACCCGCGGGGCCCGGTGCGGGCCGGGCCGCGAGCTCCCCGCAGCCGCCCCCGCCGGCCGCCGCCTTCCCGCCGCGAGGCGGAGCCGCCCGGCCCGGCCCGGGGGAGCGGATTACCGCCGGCAGCGCGCGGCCCCGCCGGTTACCATGGCGACGCCGCTACCTGCCGCCGCCGGGGCCTCAGCCCGGGCCGGGCGGGGGGGAGCGGCCCTTCCTCATCGCCGCCGCGGCAGATGGCACCGCCGGGCCCGGCCTGGGCGCTCCGGGGCGGCCCCGGCGGAGCGCCGAGAAGGGAGGAAGGGAGGGAGAGAAGGGGACGGCCGCGCCCGAGCGGTTGGGTCACGGGGGACTGGGGCGAGAGGGCAGGGCGGCGAGCGGAGAACAAAGGTGCGGGGAGGAGAACCGAATGGCCTCGATGTGCGCGGGGAGCGGAGCTCGGCGATGAGCTGCAGGGTGCTGGGGCGGGGAGGAGATGCGGGGGCTGAGGAAGGCCGCTGGATGGGGGTAAAGCAGATGTGAAGTGTGAAACGGGGGCGAGCGAGGAAACGAAACCAGAGGGAAACAAAGGGCTGCGGGGAGCGAAGGGCCGGTGGGAAACGTGGGAGAAAGGGGTGAGGAGGGTTAGGGAGTGATGGAGGTGGGGAGAGGGAAAGGAGGGAAGTCTGCAGGAGACGGGGACAGGAAGGTGGGAGGGGGAATGGAGGGCAGCTCAGGGCAATGCAGGGAGCCTGGAGGTGCGAAGGGCTGCTCTGCCAGGCTCCTGCTGGCACTGCCGCGTCTGCAGGCTGAGTTCTGTTCCTGAGTCTTTTATGCACTTTGGGGGCAGGCAGCTTCCAGTATAGCCCCAACACCAGAAGGGGGCAAAAGCATCCCTTGTTCTCATCTGCCTTCATCCCAACTGATTTTTATTGCTTTTTAAACCTAATGGCTTTTAAGCCGTTCTGAGATACTGTGGGCTGTGACTCATGCCTTGAATTCTCATGAGCAGTGCTGGTGTGGAAGGAAGAAAGAGAGGGGCACAGGCCCTTGGAGAGGTAACACATAGCACATGTGTCCTCTTAAATCCTGAGTCAACATTTGGTTATATTGCCACTGATGAACCTTGGTAATCCTAGAATCACCAACTCGATATGGCTTCTGATATCCAGTGGATTTGATGCTCGCACCTCACCTGCTTCCCAGAACTGAATAAGCATCACAGAGAGCACGATGAGGGGACGTGGAGCCCTTAGCTGCAGGCATTGTAAAACCCAGGAGGAAACAGGCAACCACCAGCCCTGCAGGGGTGAGGCTCTCTGTTGGTCAGGTGGCCCCGGAAACAGTGGTTTGCATGTGCAGTTGGTTGCAACCTCAGTTTTGAGGGCTCTGCTTGTTTTGTCTGCCTGTCCTTTTTTTCCCCTGGTGCAGTTTCCTTTGTCCCATTTCTCTAATTATCCTCATTTCAACCCTGCTCTGAGGATTATTGGTCAGTAGGAAGGCTCCTAATGCCTGCTCCTCCTTGGCAAGGGAGTACCCATGCCCTGGATTAAAGTGAAACTCCCTGAACAGTGACAGAAGAAATTAGATCTATTCCTCAGAAACCCTCCCTCAGGCAAAGTTCCCCGACCCCCACCACGTCAGCCCTGCGCCGTGCCCCTTGTGTTCGCTCTCAATATTCTCTTTGTTGCAGCCACCTTTATATAAGGCTCAGTTGGGGCACCCAGGGGAAGGCGGTGGTTGGGTTGTGGAGGAGAACCCCTGTGGTCATGTGTACAGTCAATAGGTGTACAGTCAGTAGGTATACAGAGGTTAGACTTACTAAGATTAGTGCAATGGAAAGATAATCAAAATAGATGGAAATGCTCACCAGTGTCGTAGGCTCACAGCAAACTCCACAAGGAGCAATCTCCAAAAAGAGATCCTTCCTCAGTGGCAGTCAGCACTTATATAGGATCTTGGAGAGCTGCAGCCAGGCTCCATCCCTTCCGGTAGCACAGGTGAATTGCCTTCACCTGTGTTCCTCCAGCTGACTCATTGCTTGCCTCAGGTGGTCAATCAGAGGTTCAGGCTGTGATCAACAGTTCCCATACATCATGCCATGCATGAGTGCTCTGCTCTGCAGTTGGGGTGAGGAGCTGACCGACGGGCTGCTTCCCAGTTTGTGGGAGTCCTCAGCAGGGGCCGTTGCTCTGAAGGATTGGGTTTTTTTAAGATTCCGATGACTGGAGACTTAACAGCATTTATTCAATCTGTAGGCTGTGTGGGAATGTAAAGCCCATCCACCAAAAGCAACAGCAAAATAATAAAGGCTGGGAGGTGGGATATTCCCTCTGCACGCAGACCTCTGCCTGCATTCACAGATGTGAATGCACATGAAATAGATAGTTTGCAGGTCATTTAGATCATGGAATCATAGAGTGGGTTGGGTTGGAAGGGACCCCAAAGCCCCTCTGCCTCACCCTCTGCTGTCGACTGGCTGCCCCTCCTCGCCCCCCCCCTATCAGATCATCCATGGCCTTGGGCACCTCCAGGGATGGGCACCCACATTTCTCTGAGCAGCCTGTGCCAGTGCTTTGCTGCCCTCCGAGTAAAGAATTTCCTCTTCACATGTGACCTAAATCTCCCCTCTTTTTGTTTAAAGCCATCTCCCCTTGTCCTGTCACTATCTGCCCATGCAAGGTCAGTCTCCCTCCTGTTTATAAGCTCCGTTCAAGTACTGGAAGGCTGCAGTGAGGACTCCTCTGAGCCTTCTCCAGTTTGAACACTCCCAGCTTCCTCAGTCTGTCTTCATAGGAGAGGGGCTCAGCCCTGTAAGTGCAGATTGCCGTTCACCAGCCTGCTGTGTACAAACTGGGCTGCATCTGTGCGCTTATTTTCAGAAAGCAAGCCTCAAAGGGGTGCGTTGTATATAGGAATATTTGTAGGAATGTGTGTATAATATATCTTTATCCTATGCTGGCGTTTCTCATGGCGCAGCCTGAGCAGCTTCCAGAACCCTCCCCTGGTGCTGTGCTTTGTGCCGGGAGCGCCCGGGCAGCCCCACAGCCCCCCTGCTATGCGAGCTCGTTCTGCTCCTTGCAGCCAGCTTGGAGCAGCGCTGCTCCGCGCTTCCCACTCCCACCAGTCTGTCGCCACGCTGAGCTGCATGCAGCCTCCTGCTCCCCGGCACATCCTGACACAAAGAGCTGTGCTGCCGCTGCCAGCGCTCAGCTGCTCCGCGTGGGCGAGGGAGGGAGGGTGCCGCGGGAAGGTCAGCGCGGGGAAGGAGGGCAATGCTGCCTCGTTCCCTTCGGGGCCGCATCCTGGCATCGCCGTGCAATCTTGTCCCGCTTATTGGTGGTGTTCAAGGGGACTGCCTTCAACCCTACTCATAGCACGCGCATTCCAGGGGTTCCCGAGGTGGTTTAGCACCCTGCGGGCCCAAAGAGCTTCCCCTGCCTATTCCCAGCCTAGCAAAATTACGAAAATTACATTTCTCGCTTGGTTGTGACTCTGGATGTTGTGATTCTGGACCCTTCTCTTGTTTTTATTCCTGGCCCAATTTCCCTGGCAGCGTGAGCAGCAGAGCAGCAGCAGCAGCCACTGCCCTGACCACAGCATCCTCCTCCCGGAGCTCTCACCCCCCCCCCTTCCCCTGCGCCCGCGGCAGCTCGGGGCCAGCATGCTGCAGCTCTGCCCCCGCCATCGCGTTAGCCCCGGGCCCATCTCGTCACCCCTGTCACCCACCGCTGACACTAACTCGACTTGCCTGCACTGTTGTAGGGGGCAGATGGACTGTCGGAGCCCGAGGGCATCTCTCTGAAACGCGTGGCTGTGGTGGAAGATTTCTTTGACATCATTTACTCCATGCATGTGGAGAGTTCGACGGAGCCGGGCAAAGCACCCAAACATGCTGGGCAGAAGAAAACCTACCGAGCGGTGAGACTCCCTCTGTGGGGGGACGGGCACAGGGGACCACTGCTGCTCACAGGGGAGGCCGGAGGCAGTGGGGCCGCTCGCCTGCACGAGGAGGCGTGAGAAAGGGGCTGCTTAAAGGCACAGCAGCTGCGCCAGGGAGACGGGAAACGGGGCCGCAGCAGCAGCACGGCTGCTGGAGGAGGAAAGACCAAATGAATTATACAAAGGCAACTGTACATGTCTGGGGGAAAAAGGAAAAAAAAAAGAAATGCTCAGTGTTGCTGATGTGAGGGGATGTTTACCCAGACCCCCCCCCCCCGCTGCTCTGTGCCATCTGCCTCCCCTGTGCCATCCGCTGTCCCCAGGGCCTTGGGGCAGCAGCAGCCAGGGAAGGGCCCTGGGGCTCGGCTGGAGCCCAGCCCTGTGCTGCACCACAGCATTGCCCTTGGCTCCCTGCTCTGCAAAATGGAGGCAGCTCCCGAGTTGGGTCTGCTCAGGTGCTCCCCGGTGCTGAAAACCAGATCTATCCATCCTGAAACCACTCTAGTTAGGTCAGGCATAATTCTGCTTGAAGTGTGCTTCTCCAGGGAGCTTGCCGTTTCTCCTGACTCTGCACAGCCCTTCGATGCAAATATTTGGGCTCTTCTGGTGCAAGAAGATCTTGAATTCACGGTCCAAATCCAAGCTGCTCTCACAAATCCTGCAGCCTAGGACTTGGGTCGCTTGGAGACATGTGGCTGGCACAGCTTACGCCTGCTACGTGCCTCCTTTTAGGGAGCTGCCTTGCTGTCTGCTCACCCTGGGGCTGTGCAAGGCTCAGTGCAGGGCTGGGGGCTGTCGTGTCCCATTGGTCCTGCACGTGACATTGACTGTGCAGCCCCCACCCTGCGGGTCCCCTCTGCTGTCACTGCACAGTGCTTTGTGCCCTGCAGACCGCACCGACCCTTCTCTGATCCCTTTGCTTCATCTCTCAGAAGCACAAAGCCGTGCCCTGGGAGCAGGCTGCATCCTGCTCAGCACGCTTCCCTCTCGCCCTCCCTCCCAGCTGAGCTCCTCCCGCAGCACAGCATGGCACCCAGGGGCCGCGCACTGCGTGGCCACATCCTGCCGGCCCCTCCTGCCTCCCTGCTGCCCTCCATTTGTGATTAGAGAGGCACTGGAGAGTTTGCCCTTGTCCCTGACCTCCGGAGGGAGGCAATCAGAAAGGGAGTTTGGATGGGAGATAACTCATCAGGGAAGCTGTCTGCTCTGCAGAGCATCAAATCAGCTGAGAAATAACAACTGTATCACTAAAATTAGCTGAACGTTTGCAGCGGGAGCTGGGGCTCTGCTGGAGCAGAGCAGGCAGGGACGCAGGCACAGCCCTGCTCGAGGCGGAGGGGCAGCCACCGCACCGCATTTGCCAGCAGCAATATTCAGGCCCTTCAATGTCAGCATTTCTGCGGGTGCTCCGAGTGCTGGAGCGCTGATAAATACCTCACAGAGGCAGCGGCAGAGCCGGGCATCCCTGCAGTCACAGCAGAGCTGGATAGGGCTGTATCTAGGCAGGAGAATCCCATGAGGACCAAGCACTGCATCCTCCATTTGGCTGCTGGGACGAGGTCCCTGCCTGAACTTTCCACCCGCACGGCATTTACGTGTGCGCCAAAGGCTGGGCTCTGCTGCCGCTCAGCGGAGGTGGACGCCTCTCTCTGCTGGGCCTCAGGGCTCCGTTGCTTCAGCCAAGTCCCCCGCCCTGCCCAGGCTGCACTGCTTCCACGAGTTTTTTTTTTTTTCCCTTCGTTTTTTTCAAGAAAGCTTAAACGTCACCCCTTCCCGTGAGGTAGGAAAAATGCTTGGAATGCGTGCGTTTTTGATTTTGTTATGAAATAGGTGGGAGGATGGTGCCTATGGGCCAGAGGAGGGGGCCGGGACGTCCCTGCTCTGCCCTGCTGTGCTGTTTCCCATTGGAAGCCCCGCTTCTGCCAGGCTCGCCGCCCGAGGAGAGGCCCAAACAATTGGATTTCTGTCTGCTTTATGACCCCACTTGTAAGTGCTGTGACCCCTGTTGGGGTCACGGCCCTGGTTTGGGAACCGCTGTGCTGGGACAGGGCCTTCAGACCAAATGCGATGGGTGATTAACCATAGGAGCCAGCCCCAAAGTAAGAGGTGGACTCCCCACCCTCTTAATGTCTTTCAATTAAGACCAGATATCATGCTGGAAGTTGTTTTATAGGCAAAGCACTGGCTGCTGAGCTGCAGGAGAACCTGGGATAGGTTCCCTGACTTTGCTGTACAGGTGGGGCACCCATGATTTTGTGGTCTCTCATGGCCTTACAGAAATCTTTACGTTAAAATCACATTCTCCCTTCTGAAAATAATCTAGGCTTGGTCTTTATAAATGCTGTGAAGTTGCTGCTAATGGAGACTGCTTGGAACAGAGGGCTCCTGACCTCCAGGTGCCTTCTGTGGGTGCTGAGGTCTGGATACAGTGTTCAGGGATCCAATTTTAAAAATGCATCCTCAGCTGTTTCCCACAGTTTTCCCACAAAGGTTTAGGACTTTATTCATTACTATTTGTAAAAATGTTTTTGATTCCCTAGGTAAAATATGTCACAGAAGTGCAAAGTGTTATGAACAGTAATTGATTGTCATTGTGGGAAAAAGTGACCTGCCCTTCCAAAAGATTAATGCATTCTTCAGGTTAGCAGGGCAATGGTAATTAGCAGTGAAACAGTGCTGGAAAGCCCTAACTTTCTCAGTCAGTCCTTACACAACCATAACTTCTTTCTGCTCAGAGCCCAAGCAGAGCAGGAAGGAGTTTCTGGGCAGGAGGGGCTGCATAAAAAGTCCACAGATGGGGTTCAGGAGCAGCACGCTGCTGTGTTACGGTGCTCAGGAGCTTTGTACAGCTGTGTTCTGGGATTCAGGCTAAGAGGGCAGTGCTCGTGCTGTGTCCCAGCCCTCAGGCTTTCCCTCCCAGCACATACAACCCTTTCCTTATTTTCCCAGATCGCAGAGACCTATGCTTTTCTCCCAAGAGAAGCTGTGACCAGGTTCCTGATGAGCTGCACAGAGTGCCAGAAGAGGATGCATTTCAACTCCAACGGGCTGGAGCCCAAAGGTAAAGGCAAGCAAACTGTGCGAGCGGAGCCAGCAGTCACCCTACACTGAGAGCTGTCAGTGACTGCTTCGTTCATGAGATTTGTCTCCAATGCCAACTGCATTTCCTAACCCTGTGTATTTTCAGTGTGCTCTTACAGCAAAGCTTGGGGAATGGCTTAAAGTCCATTTGTCCATCGCTGTTTGGGCGCTGGTTTTGGCAGAGGCAGTGGGATGGGGCTGCCCAACCCAGCTCTGCTTCTGAGCAGTTCCACCACTGGTTCCCCTTCTCCAGTGCAACCCCACAAAGCCTGGGTCAAAAGCACTGCAGCTATATCTGCAATCAGCTCATAACTGTACGTGGGTAGAAGCTCAGATCTCTGGAAAAACCTGACCTAAAGTTTTTTTTTTTTCTTTAAACTATTAATTTGGTAATGAAAGACAGTGAATCTGTTTGAATAATTGAGGTTTCTGATAAAGAAAAAATTGGCAGTAATTAATAGATACGCACGTCGTGATCCCATTTTGGATAACAGAAAATGTTTTGGTAATCAAAGTTATATTATGCCTGTGTATACAACCAATTAGCATGGTGACTGTGGTAGTTAGCTCATTACAGTTCTTTTATAGAGGGAGCCAATCTGCAGCTCTGAGGCCTAGGAGCTATGAGCAGAGCATAAGATGGGACCAAGTTTCCTTCTAGAGAAGATGGTTAAGTTTGATGTTTGGATGGGTTTTCTTCTGAATTACAAACTCGTTTACCTCATCAAGTGCAAAGCTCTATTTTTCAGAAACTGCCCCAGATAACCCCCTGATGTTTATGAGCCCAAGCTCCATCTGCACAGCACCTGCCCACCCTGCTTGCTGAGGACCCACTTTCAAATTAGGTCGAGGGAAATTTTGGCCTTTGGTCTCTCTGGGGGTGAACCCAGCTGTTACACCAAGCAGAGCATTTGGCTTGACCCTGAGCAGGGAGCAAACAACTGTCACAAAGTTTTCCAGTTCTCTTGGAAGTAAACCCAAAAGGAAGAAAACAGGCATAGAAGCCCTTCTCCTTTCCCACCAGAAATGGAAGGACAGAAATGCCCTTCTGCTCAGAATAGCACCTAAATAGTGACTTAGTACCTGTGAAACCACATAGAGTAGATTAGATAAGATTACTTTTACTGGGGAGGAGTATCTGATTTCACTACTACGTATTCCACAATTCATCTGGAGCAAATCACCTACAGAATGGTGGGGTCATAGGGAAATTGCCTGGGTGTGTGTGCATGCACACAGACTGACAGATGGACGTAATGTTTAACGTGGTGAGAAAAAGAAATGAAGTCATTCCTATCTACTTCTACCTGTCCATTAAGCAAATCTCAACACACTTCCTATGTGATCAGAAAAATCCCTAATTAAACATACCTGACATTGAACCCTGCAGGGCACTCACATAATTCATAGAAGAAAATTATCTTGCGCCTGGGAAGCTCTGAACATTGGGCTTCAATGTGGCATTTTTACACTGTTATTAAATTAGGAGTAATTCCAGTGGAATTATACAGGCTTGGAATTAGGATCCAAACCATTTCACTTCAGCTTTGCCTTTTTTTATCCGTATTTCCAACACTTGGGGTCTGTGATACAGTATCTTCTAAAGAGGAGCTAAATGATTCCAGTTGCCCCTTTTGTGACACAAGGTGTGAGGATTATACCTATGGAGTCCCTCAGGCCCTTTACAACGAAGGTTTTCTTTCTTTTCAGTTAGCTTAAATAAAAAACCCAGACGTTCTGGTTTCTCAGGCACAAGTGCTTGTCTGCTGCAGCTGTCCAGATTCACTGGGCATTCGTTGCTGCTGATGGGATGGCTGCAGGTTTACACCAGGATGGTTTCAGGCAGGGCTGAGCACTGAGGTCCTCCTTCTTCCAGCTCCTGTCTGAGGGTGCTCAGCTGTTTCCCTGGAGCCTTGCTCTCTGTATAAGCACTGAGCAAAGGAGATTTTGTTCCTGGGAGCTCTTTCCTTGCTCTGAGATTTTAGCATCTCTTCGTCACAAGCTGATGTCCTTGCACAGCAGAAAAATGGCTTATTTTGCTTGCTTAATGTATACAGAGGAATGCTTGTCATTAATTTGTAGGTCAAAGCATGATGGAGAGCAGTGATGCACAGGCATGGAAAAGAGGCGAGGGGTTAGTTTACAAGATTCCTGAGTTTACAACATTCCTAAAAGCTGTGCAGCTCCATGTGTGTGCAAGCCAGCGACCCGAGTAGTTGTGGGTATCCATCAGCTATCCAGGATGCTGCAGCTGCCCAGGACTTGAAGAGCAAACTCTGCATTTCCATAACCAGGCTCTTGCAAAAACTATGTAATGTTTAAGTCAGCTATGGACAATATGCTTTTGGGTCAGGTCATTTCTTAATCAGACACAATAGATCTGATATTTCCAGAGGTGTGAAGCACCTTCGGGTCCGCTGAGTTTCACTGGGCTTTTGCAATATTCAGCATTTCTGAAAAGCAGCCCCATTAGGGCTGGCTGATGGATTTTCTGAGGTGCTGTAAAACATTTTGTGAAGGCCGTTTGTAAAAGGGGCTGTGTCAAAGGTGCCTGTGAAACTGGTGACCCCAGAAAATGCAAGGCAGGCACTGAGGTTCTGAGACAGGAAAGGAAAACTCCCACTGCCAGTTCACCTTCAGCTCCTGGAAATCCTCCTTTGCTGCTGTTGGAACTTGTGTTCTGGTGGGCAGAACACGCAGCCTTTGGGGGTTTGCTGGGAAGCTGGGCTTGTCCTCTGGTGCTGGCAAATATCTGTACAAAGGCACAGAGATTTCCCTTTTCACCAGCATCTTTTCCTGTGGGAAAAGGCAACTTTCCTCTTGAACACGCACAGTCATGTAAAGGTTGTGACAAAAGAAATAATTACAGAGGTCTCCAAGTCCTGCATGCAGAGCTTCACAGCGATGACCACAGAGCTGAGAAATGTGAACTCAGAAATCTCATGGAGGGTTTGCCTTACTGGGAGTTGTCTAGGCTGGGTGGAAAGGGGATCTGCAGGAGCAGGCTGGATCCAGAGTGATCTCTGGAGTTCAGTGTGATGCAGGCAGAGGAATCAACAGGAACAATTTAAATTAGAGGTTTTTAAAATTAAGCTTTTAATGTATTCTAATGAGGGTGTTAAAAATAATCTTCATCAGCAGATAGAGACACTTAATAAGTTGCCTTAATGATAACCCCTACCTGAGGGAATCCCAGCAAAACTGGTGAGACTTTGCTATGCCAAAGCAAACTGGAAATTCCTGATCACCCTCTGCATCAATCCCATTTGCATGGAAGTGTTTCTGAGACCTTCAGCAAGGCTGGCTTTCTTCCTCTGTTAGGTTTTAGTTTGGCAGACTGAAAAATTATTCCAGTATTGTGTGGGCTTTTCATAGGTGTGACAGCAGTGCTTTTTTTCTCCTGCAAAACAACATCTGTTCTGTAATTATCCTCTGGGTCGTGTTTGTGTGGGAACCTCAGCTCAGGGGGCACTGGCTCCAGTTAGGGGTTTTAAGTGCTTCTAAATACATATGTTTGATCATGATGGCAACGCGTCGCAGGTTTGTGCTCCCACGTCTCTGTATCTGAACAAAGTTCTTTCTCTGTTCTTCAGAGAGCGAACCACCTTCCTCTCTGGTTTCTGGGATCATCGACTACAACATGCCTCTCACCTCTACTTATCTGAAGCAAATGAAGCTGCGGGTGATGAATTCACAGGAGCAGGTGAGTTATGCCCCTGCCACGGGGCAGTGCAAGGCACGAGGCGGGTTTGTGCTCCTGGGGCTGGGGGGCGGCTGGTGCTTTTGGGAAGATGTTTGGAAGATGCTTTTGGAAATGTTGTGTTTGTCCAGGTGGGGCAGGCTTTGACTACATACTACCAGTGCTGGTCCATGGAAGCGGGGTGCTGTTGCTGTTATGGATTGTAGCAGTCTGCTTGTTCTTTAGGCACGTAGTTCTACTATGAAGTCTTAAAAATACACATGGGGAATAGGAATTTATCTCCTTACCTCCTCGTGTTTTTCTGGGAGCCTTTGCAGGTGGGGTGGTTGTGGCCAGCAGCTCGGTGTGGCTCAGCACCATCTGCCCTCATGTCATGCTGGGAGGGAGCTTGGTTGGCTGCTGGGGGTGTCAGGCCACTGCATTTGGATTTGGAGCAGAAGGGGCTGAATGCCACAGGATTAAACCCAGGCTACGCAATTTTCTGGAGTTCTGCAGCTGCAGAATTAGCAGTGGGAACCTCTGTGCACCATGGAAACAGTCTATAAAAAGCAAAGCATGTTCTGCTCACTCCCCACAAATCGGCACTGGGAGCCAGTGCTGGATCTGCTTTCCAGCACACCAAAACCTCAATCTGATCTCGTACGCCGCTGCCAGTTCGCAGGAATGAAAGAGTTTGCATTGTGCAAGGGAGGGGAAGACTGCCGATAGCTTGAGCTGTGAAGTTGTGCCAACGGATGCCTTTTACCTGGGGGCAACCCGAGGGGGCATCGCTTAGAGAATCTGGTGCCAGGGTGTGAAACTGCAGATGTTGATCCGCCGTCAGGAGCGAAGGGGTGGGCACAGAGCTCCTCTGGCATTGCAGCAGCGAAACCTTCCTGAAACCTGACATCTGGCAGGAAGCACTGCTGCACCTCGCAGCGTTTCCCTTTGCGTGTGTTGGACACTGAGCAAGCTGGAGGTTCTGCCCGCAGCAGCAGAGCTGCTCAGAAGGAGCTGGAGGCAGAACTCTGGACAGCTCCAGCCCGGGGCTGTGGGACCCGCTTGGCCACGCAGCATCAAGAGCTGCCCTTCTTTGGTTGCTGGGTCTGGGTGCAAATCAAAGCAGAGCTGTGATTGCAGACCCTGCTGCCGTGCGTGCCGTTAAGCAGCAGCCTTTTCCTCACCAAGGACTGCAGGTCACGCTTTTCAGAATTTGAGGCAGTTCCTTCAAGTTAAGGTTGACGCGTATGTAAAAAACAGCCTGAGGGGTTTGTGTACTCACCACTAACACCTTTTCCACTGATAGGATTGTTCCTCTTGGCCCCTGTATAATGAACATACAGATGCTATAGTCATGAGATATACCAGAGAGCTTGGCTACGCAGCTATACTAAAACAGAATAACTAGGATGCTTACCTGTATCCTAGGCTCACTGTGAAACTCCAGAGGAGGAGATCTCCAGAACAGATCCTCCCCCACTGGCAGTCAGCTCTTAAATGGGTCTAGGAGAGGTGCAGCCTGGCTCCACTCCTTCCAGCAGCACAGCTGAATTGCCTTCACCTGTGCTCCTGTGGCTGACTCAGTGCTCGCCTCAGGTGATCAATCAGAGGTTCAGGCTGTGATTCAGCAGTTCCTATACACCCCCAAAGCTCCATTCAGGAGATGTATGCCATGAGGCTTGCCGAAACTCCTGTGTCAGTTCATGCAGGTGGAAAACAGGACTCTTAGTTTGCTCTAATTTCCATAACACAAAGTATCATGGAAGCTAGCAGACAGGCCTTAGGAGTTGTGAAGTTACATCTATGGGGGTGCTTGCTTGGAGAACTTTGGATTGGTGATTCAGAGATGTGAGAAGTGTGTACCCTGAATTTTGCTGTAGGAGTGTGCACTGGCTCTCCCACTAGATGAACAGATACAGTACTGCTCATAAGAACACTCCTGAAGATTGTGATCAAAGCACAAGTCCTGCAGGAACAAAAAGAGGACCAGCTGAGGCAACACACAGAGGTTGGCCTAGACCATAAATCACTGTACTTCAGTTTATTTCCTTGCCTCTTTGCTGCTCTCTGTGGTATGTTGCAATGCAGCTTTTCGAGCTGCAGCAGATGAGGGAAAAAAACTATTTGGAAGAAGTAAAATTCACGTTTCAATGTGTCCCTGAAATTCCAGTGAGATTCCTGAGAGAAAATGGCAAAAGATCACAGCCCTGCTGCTCAGATCCATGTAGCATTGGAACTCCTTATGATACCTGACTGTAGCAGCAGTCTGAGGAGGATACCAGGGTGGGAACCCAGGGATAAAACCCAGGTCCATTGATGCTGAGGGGCACGGCCATGGCCACCCCTGGGAAGGAACACCATGCTCACAAATACACACTGCATGGCTTTCATGTATCCAACTTTACACTAAGAACTCGTCCCTCTATCTCATCTTGCTGCCCTGCCACCTCACTGCCCAGCACTAAGCCAGCATTTGATGGTAATAATAGAAATAAATGAAGCAAGTGACTTGTGTTCTACTTGGCTTTTGCCAAAAGCAATTATTTGTATGCAGCAGCACCAGGAGGAGCTTGCTTCACAGGGGCTAACAATGAATGAATTTATGCCAAAGTGGCCTTTTAACTTCATTATTCAGGAGGAAAAAAAAAAAGTGCATGTAACTGTAATTTATGACTGCTGTTAAGCATATCAGTATCAGAGCAGCAGTGTCTCCACCAGGAATCGCTGCCAGGAGAACCTGAGAGCATTTTGTCTGCATCGAGGGACAAAAAGCATTGCAAAATAAGGAGCTCTTCCCAGGGTTGTTCCTGCAGTGAAGGGTTCCTGCAGAATTGACAGAACCAGAAAGCAAATCACCATCCTGTATGGAAGCGTTCAGAGAACAGGAGTCAGATTATTTTCTCACATCAGTGGAGATCAATATATTTCAAGTCAGCACATCTATTCTGGCATGAGTGCCCCACGCTGTTTAAATTGGGTTCACTGGAACATGCAGGAGCTCCTGGGCTGTGAGTCTTCCTTCTTTCCAATCTTATAGCAGTTCTCATGTGTGAGAGGGCCCAGGAGGGCCCGTTCCCTTTCCGCACAGTGCAGAATTAGCCATATTTCAGGGATCTGAGGAGGCATTAAAACATCCCCCGAACTTCTGACCTTCTCAATCTTGCAGCAAAAAAAAGGAATGAAGGTATTTAATATTCATCTATAATGATCCTTCCACCTCGTTTTCAAACGATAAATATTAGCGTGTTTAACCGATTGCTTATTTGAGTTTTATTGCAGTCATTTCCCAGGCCATCTTTTTCTATCACGCTCAGACTCATCCCCGGGTTTATTTTTCACACCACGCTGTTCAGGTGATTTCTGCCAGTGCTCAGCACTGGATGGAACACGGCAGGCTGAGATGCACAGAGCTCCAAACCTGCTCTGCTCTGGAGGTGCGGCTGCTACCTTGGCAGGCACAGCAACCAGGTTGAAGTGATACGGAAAATTTCCAAAGGTTGCTTCAGTGGCTGCTGACAGAAGGTCACCCAGTCGGTGAATGGCAGGATGTGAAATAACAGAAGCTTTTCTCTTGTTGCCATGGCTTTGCCACGCTGACTAGTGAGTGCCTGGGAGGGAGGGAGGAAGGCAGGAGGGGGTCTCGTCCTGCACCCTGGTGCACGGCTCCCTGCTCACAGTGTGCACTGCAGGGCTGGAGGGGGCTGCAGCATGAGGGCACGGTTTGAAGAAATAACCAAAACGAAAGGGCAGCCCTGAAGGTATCTGGAAGATACTGTTTCGCTAAATGCAAATTACCCAGTTCAGTACAGACGTAACTGTTGGAAATACAGATTTAATTGATGCAGTAAAGGCTTGCTCGTAGCTCTGCATCAGCAAAGCCCTCTAGTGGAGATGCAGCTTCTGCTGGCAGAGAAGGCTTTGGCTGATGCGTTTCAATCCTGCCCTGAAGGACAAGCTTTCCAGCCATGGCAGCAGTGGGTCCAGCCCTACAACTCCATTCTGCACATTTGCAGCTTCCCTCCACCCCTCTTAAGCTGACAAAGACAGTTTAGGGAAACTTTTATCCTTGGCCTTAATGGCTCATGAGATGCAGGAGGTCAGATGATCAAACCATTTAGCCTGGTTTCAAACTTCTCTGAATGGCTTGCTTTCAGTGAAGGTCAGCTCATTTTTGTGATTGGAATTAACCATGAGGTTCCCAGCTAGTTAAAGCAGGAGGCGTTTCATTTCCAGCTGTGTAGATCCCTCAGTGTCTGTAGCTGCATTGGTGGTAAGCTTTGTATGTGCTCAGTGCAGTGCTCAATGCAAGCAAAATGATTTGAGATCCAGGTGTGGGCTGGCTGGGATAAATAATGCTTGCATCTTCCACATGAGATACGATGCTGTGGCCCGGACTCTGCACTGCTAAGGGAAATCACGTTATTTCCTATGGGAAGGAGGCACTGAATGAGGTGGCACTACCAGAACCTAATGATACCAGTCACCACATGTCCTTTAAGGCTGCTGGCTGCACCAGGTACCACGTGGCACTGCTCGGGTCCCTTATCCTGCTGGCGGCTGCAGACTGGTGGAGAGGTGCTTGGGGGAATGCACTGTGGCTCCTGATGGGTCCATTCCTCCTGTAGCCTTGGGCAGGCCGTGGCTGTGGGCTCTCTGCCTTGCCTCCCCTTCACTCGTTGACGTGCTGCGTGCTGACTTTGATCGAGGCACACAAATGGTTGTTTCCTAATTGCCCTCTCCCTTTAAGAAGGGGCTAATACCTTAGAGAGACTTCTGAGGTCTCGCACACTAATAAAGCTCTTCAAGAGCTCGGATGGCAACTACTTTGAGAGCGTGAACTGTTATTAATGATTTCCGTTGCTGCAGAAAATGAAGCTGTGTGGTTCAGCGTTGTAACCTTGAGTTGCGTTCTTGCTTTTGTTCCTGCTCCTGTTCTACCTGCTCAGGCAGGCGTGCGCCTCGCTGGGGTGCCGTGCTGCAGGGCTGGGGATGGGCGCGTGCATCTCCCAGCAAATGCTGGCACT